AAACTGCAGCGGAAGAAACGGCACCAAGAATCGTCCGAGCGATTGATACCATGATAACAGTGTTCATCAAGAAAACCAGAAAATACAGTAGAGAAGAGAGAGAAAGAATGATAGAAAAGAGAAATAAAGTGAGATATGATATTTTGTGTATTACAATCTGATCACTGCTTACAAGATATTTCACACTTATATACACAAATGTTATCTTATCTCCTAAGCTTTAAAACCTCCCATCTCTAACTAACTAACTGTCTTTTATATCACTTTTACACATTTGTGACATTGACCATACTACCCTTCTTATGCTAGTCAATATCCCCGACAAGCGAACGTAGGAAGGATCCATTTCCAATCAGGAGGCCATCCTCCGTTCCTATCATTGACTTTGATTTCGACCGTAGCAAAGCACTGGATGTCATTGATCGGGTGGACACAATTCGAAGTATTTGAATGCACATGCGAAGTGGTTCTTCTGTATGTATGTCTAGTAAGTTCATCTGCGGCATTTGTCCCTGTCGTGTACTCTTTGTTGTGGCGGTGGCGATCTTATGGAAGCAGGCATGGATGTTGAGAAACGAGAGAAGTGATGGCCGTTTTTGAATGTCAAAATGTAGGGTGAGAAGTGTATTTTGATCAATCTAAGTTAAATTGACTTGATGGGATAACATTTATCCAAAGTTCATCTACGGCGCTTATAAATATACATTAATCCCATGAAAAATGGTAGAAAGGACCTTGCATGCACTTATAAGTAATCGCTGCTAGGGAAGGCGTTGCATTAAAAGAAGAAAAACCATGCTAAATATCATGACATGAGCAAGCGCAAAGTCGTCTCAACTCTCACTTTTAGAGTTGACTTGTCTCTTATCTAGAAACGAAATCCCATGTATGTTGTTCTGGGTGATTACGAAATCGAAATAAGTTCCATACTTTGATTTTGAAATTATTTTTTAAGAGTTGGATTTAAAACATGTGACTTATAAGCAGCTAAAAGTATTGTTAAATTGTAGTATTAGTAACTAGAAAAAGAAATTGCTAAGGTCCGTTTAGTATAGTGAATTAAACTGAAATAAATAACGCTCTAAATTCAAAATAACTTAAAGTTCAAAGATCCATGCAAGTCAATTATTGTAAACAAACGATTTTATCTACCCTAAGGGGTAGGGGTATAAAGTGGTTCAAACTCGCCTTTAACGAGAATCGAATATATAACATCTCACTTATAAATAAAAAGAAATATCACAACCGTAGTACTAAAGGTCGTATGATTCTCATATTTTTAAAAGATTAAAATGAATCACTTTTTTTTTCAGATATAAAACTCATACTCTCAAGCAACTCTAATCGCCTAGGTGCAATCTTGAGATAGCCTTGCAATCTTGAGAGCAGAGTTGAAGAGTCAAAGGAAGCTTGTGACAAGTTTGAAGAAAAAATCACTTTGGTCCCGAATTTTGGAAGAGGTAGCAAGTCAGTATTTCTATTTGTGTATCTCAGCTATGTGCAACTGAAAATAACTTTCTGTTGATCGAATGCAGCACACATAAATTGGATAGTATATATTTGTTAGTCACATCATAAAACTTTGGAAGCTTCAATTTGCGGCTAGAGAATGCACCCATATATTTTAAAGTACCCTTCTTCCGAATTTCTAGAAGGGATGTCATAAAAAGACATTAAAGCCTAAACCACTCTAGGAAAGCAAATTACTTAATTGGTTTTTTGGAGAAAAGAAAAAAAAAATAAACAAACAAAGCCAGCGAGAGGGAGGGGACCTTTAATTTTATTTGATTTAGATTGTTTGGTTCTGAAGAAATATAAAGATTGTTCTTTTTATTATGACATTTTGAGAATATTCTAGGATGTGTGAATTCTATGTCTTGTGCTTAAGTTCTGGGTTGTTGAACGATGATTGTGGGTACACTGTGCCAATAGAATTTCCTTTGAAGCTCTACACTTATATCTCTTATTTACAGGTCGTGGAGAAACTTGTCGATGTTGTTCATTTCTTACATATGGAGATTCATGAAGCATTTGGAAATGCAGGTATGCGTCAAAAGTTCGGATGGAATTTTTATATTGGAAATGCTGGTCTTGCCTTGCATTATGCAAATATTATCACTCAAATTGATCTTCTTGTGAGTTGATGATGTTATATTCATCTCCTAAATTTTCAACCTCTGTGATAATATTTTTTTCCTTTTCTTTTACTTCAGTATAAACAAGTATGTGGTATCGTCAGTGAACTACTTAATACGGTAGTGAAAATACAGTTTTGTTTACTGTAAGCTAGCAGGTTTTAAGTTTCAATGCCTTTTTAGGCTTCAATGTGTTCATAATGGGGTTTATCTTAGTGTGGAGCAACCGACTTTTGGTGTGAGAGTGGGTTGTATCCAGGTAAGTTTGGGAAGCATATTTCGGTGGGGTTATGCTACCTCTAGACTTCTGTGTTCAGCAAGCATACTCGGCTGAGCAAGAGTAGTAACCACTCCCCAACAAGTGAACGTAGGAAGGATCCATTTCCAATCAGGAGGCCATCCTCCGTTCCAATCATTGACTTTGACTTCAACCGGAGCAAAGCACTGGATGTCATTGATCGGGTGGACACAATTTGAAGTATTTGAATGCAGAGGCGAAGTGGTTCTTGTGTATGTATGTCTAGTAGGTTCATCTGCGGCATTTGTCCCTGTCGTGTGCTCGTTGTTGTGGCGGTGGCGATGTTATGGAAGCGGGCATAGGTGCTGAGAAACGAGTGAAGTCATGGCCGTTTTGAATGTCAAAATGTAGGGTGAGAAGTGTATTTTGATCAAGGTAAGTAAAATTTCTGTAGATGGAAAAGATGCTGGTTTATAGCTTTCCTTGGTAGCTAATATGTACAGAATATTATCCAAAGTTCATGCTCCTCCCTTGCTCTCTCAAAATACACCAATAATTAACATGATAGGATAACATTTTATCCAAAGTTCATATGCGGCGCTTATATCCATTAATCCCTTGAAAAATGGTAGAAAGAACCTTATATGCACTTACAAGTAATTGCTGTGTGGGAAGACATTGCATTAAAAGAAGAAAAAACGCGCTAAATATCATGACACGAGCAAGCACAAGATCGTCTCAACTCTCAGTTTTAGAGTTGACTTGTCTCTTATTTGGAAATCGAAATCCAATGTATGTTCTTCTAGGGTGATTACTGATGAAATCGAATGAGTTCCATATTTTATTACAATTTTTTTTTTGAATAAACGATATTATCTATACCAAAGGAGAGAGGGTGAGCTTAGCATCACAATGAGCTAGCAATAATGTTGTTCAAACTCGCCTTTGGCGATAATCGAACTTAAGACCTCTCATTTACAAATGAAGAAGAATACCACTAGACCGTAGTACTAAATGACATGTCACAAAATATTTTAAATTAACTATCTTTATCATGAGTAAAGTTTTAGTTGTCATGCTTTGAGGTCTAATGCCGCCATTGACCTATTTTTAGGCTTGGCGGTTAAGTGAAAAGGACAGCTTCTTTATGATTTTTTTTATTTTATTTTTTAATGCAAGGATTATTAGGGTGAAGGAGGTTATATATGGACTAGGGATGGCAATGGTTCGGTTTGAAGACGGAAATGCTATATCTATCCACATAATCATGAAAATTAACCATATCCATAACCGCAAATTAACCATCAGGGTAACCATATCCACCGGGTAACAGATTTTCAATCGGTTATCGGTTATATCCATCTTCGTCAAAAAACAAAAAAAAAAATTATATTCATCCAATTGACGCATTATAAATGTGAGTAGATACTAATTCCGTCATTAAGTAGCAACATCCAATTACAAAAAACATAACAATATATTTGAAGTTGTTCATGATAACATGCACCAATTTCTTAACAGTGAGACTCTTGAAGAGAGATGAATTTGATAAACTTGTAACATTTGATAATTAATATATAAAATGATTCAATGAATTAATTTGGTTGAGTATAACAATAAGAGTATTGAATTGATGAGGTTGTTGGTATGCCCCATGCATGATGTTTGGTGCATAATAAAGATAGTATAGGGTTTGATGCATGCATAATGAATTAATATAGGGAGGGTTCAATAAATTGAATAAAATTATATTATATATCAAATATATATATAAAATATTCGGATTGGATTCAGGAACTGATATGGATTAGGGATCCCTATAACCATATCTAAAACCATAACCAAATAAAGTTCATGGTTTTTCCCGATATCCATACCATACCCAAATTTTTATATCCAAATCCAATCCATTCGGGCGGTTATCCACGGTTATCGGGTTTAACAGTTAAAATTGTCATCTTTAATATGGACTAATCATACTTTGATTTTGAAATTGTCTTTATGCGAGTTGGATTTAAAACATGTCACTTATAAGTGATGAAAAATATTATTATATTGTCGTATTGGTAACCGGAAAAAGAAATTATTAAGGTCGTGAATCAGACTGAAATAAATAACGCTCTAAATTCAAAATAATTTAAAGTTCAAAGATCAGTGTAGGTTATTTTTTTTTTTTTTTAACAAATGATATTATCTACCCTAAGAAATAGGGTTGTAATGTAGTTCAAACTCGCATTTGACGAAAATCGAATATGTGACATCTTACCTACAAGTAAAGAGAAATATTACAATCGTAATACTAAATGGCGTGTCATTCTCATATTTTAAAAAGATTAAAATGAATAACTTTTTTTTTTCTTTTCCAGATATAAAATTCATACTCTCAAACCAATCCAAACGAGGCCTTATTTGGCGAGGTTCAATGTTGGAAAAGGATCCTACCTGGTAACCGCGGGGAAAAGAAGACAACAACTCCTGCGCCTGCATGGTAAGGGAAAAACAAATGGGCGCTAAAACATATAGACATCTCCCCGAAAAGTCGTCCGAGAATTTTCTTAGTCTTCTTCTTTTGTCACCCTCATTCATTCATTCATTCATTCATTCCCATCACCTCCTCTCTTAGTCTTCTTCTTTTGTCACCCTCATTCATTCATTCATTCATTCATTCCCATCACCTCCTCTCTCTCTCTCTCTCTCTCTCTCTCTCTCTCTATAGACACATTCACCGTTCACATCTTCCGGAATTGCTACTGATTTGGGCTTGAATTCTTTCAATATTAATGGGCGGGATTGTGAACATGGTGAAGAAGCCGCCCAAAGTACAACAAGTGGATATAGTTTTTTACAATCCCTTATATGGTGGCAATGGGTCTGACGTAGGAGTCAATGATGGGTTTCCTTGCTTTCCTAAGCGGACAGCTGCTCCAAAGGTAAATTCTTCACCTTGGTGTAATTTCCCAACTTTGTTTTACTTATCTGGTCTGTTGGAAATTGGAATTTTGTTGTTGTTGTTGGAAACTGGATTGGTACTGTCTTATTGATTAAAAGGTGTGCAGATGTAGAATTGATGAACATTTCTTGTGCTTGTGTGTGTTTTCTGCCGAGTTTCAAACCACAGAATTGCACTTGGCTAACTCCACTGCCCGAAATTTGGAGCCGTCTTCGTGATCGTATCACTAGCAATCCTGAAAGTTACATTTGATATTCTTAGTGAGATATTAATTTCAAATTTTAGGACCCTTTTGATAACTATTTGGTTTTTTGTTTAGTTTTTACTTTTCGTGTATGAGATATGATAAAGTATATGGATGAAAAGGAATGATGAAGAATGATAGTTAGAGGAAGGGGAATAAGTAAAGAACAATGGATGAAACAAAATCTTCGAAAGTAAACAACTTAAAATAGATTTTGGTTTTTAGTTTTTATTTTGTCTGCCGTTTCTGTCTATCTCCTTTCCGATTGGAGGGCCATTATACACAGATCAAGAGCTTCACAGAAAGATGTTCCCATTTGTATGTGAAAATCCTTTTCAGGGGATGCAACTCAATTATAGGGGTGTTCCCCTTTAATGTTATTTGTAACTATTTACCATCGTTGTCGTATCAGTTTATCCGTTATCTAATTCCTATTCTTATTATTCTTTTGTTATAGGTATCAGAAACAAGCTCCCTTTTGGGCAGGGCTGGTGGGAAGGCAGTGGCAGTATTGGACACCCTTGGTAGTAGCATGACGAATTTGAATCCAAGCAGAGGTTTGACCTCAGGGGCAACAAAAGGGAATAAAATTTCAATTTTGGCTTTTGAAGTCGCAAACACAGTTGTCAAGGGTTCAAATTTAATGCAGTCCCTTTCTAAGGATAACATCAAACATCTAAAAGAGGTTGTGCTTCCTTCAGAAGGCGTACAGAATTTGATATCAAGAGATATGGATGAACTCCTGAGAATTGCTGCTGCTGACAAGAGGTTGATAATTGAAAATTCCTTATATAATTTTCAGAATGATCGGAACAAGGTTTTACTATTTTTGGTTCTTAACATGTGTTTATGTCTTGAATAATTGTACATGAAGGTTGGAGAGTTAATATTTTTGTGGTAAAATTCTGGCAGAGAAGAGCTCAAAGTTTTCTCGGGAGAAGTAGTGCGTTTTGGAAAGCGTTGTAAAGATCCTCGGTGGCATAAACTGGATCGCTATTTTGAACAGTAAACCTATCAAGAAATTTGATATTTTCCTCATGTCTGTTTCTGTTTAACTCCTTAGATGATGTTCTGACACTGCCACCTGTGCTATCTCCCAAATGTTAGGTTGGGTTCAGAAATTACACCACAGAGGCAATTGAAGGAAGATGCAGAGACAGTGATGCAGCAATTGATGCCGTTAGTCCTAAATACAGCTGTAAGTACACATATAGAGAATGCAACCTCTCGCAGCAGTTGTGTCCATTAGTGACTTACCTTAGAAGTTTCTGTAACAGCATGCACATGTTGAAGAGAAAAATAATAATATTTTTAATATCTCTTTCCACTGGGAAATATAATTGGCATAAGAATGTCATTGGATTAGTTTTACATTATTGTTTGTAGTTATCTTGAATAAGGTTCCCTCCTCAAGCTATGTGCTTTCTTGTCTGACATGGTTGAATTCTATAACTAGGATATCAAATGAAACTGAATTAAAATGCTTCATATTATGGATCAAAGAGGCTGTTTCTCCTCGTTTCTTTGTTTCTGTAGCATTAAAAGTTGATAACTTTCCTTATTTTTATATTTTGTCAGCTGTATCCTAAGTATAATAGGTTTTGTTGCTTGAAGTACAAAATATTTGGTCAATCATCTATCCGTATGAAGATTACAGTTAATTACTCAAAACGTTGCTTAGCTTTGTTGTAGTCCTTATTCAGTTGAAGGGCTTTCAAGCAAGACAATCAAATTTTCTGTTCTGCATTTAGGATTTAGCACTCTTTAGTGTTGCAGAATCATTAAACAACCATTGGTGGTGTTAAAAAATGTTACTGCAACTGCTGGGCATATGTTGTTCCTTAGAACTTTACTGAACAATAACTTAAAATTTAGTAAACAAGCATTGGTGGTGTTAAAAAATGTTACTGCAACTGCTGGGCATATGTTGTTCCTTAGAACCTTACTGAACGAAAGCAAACCTTTTTCTTCGTTACAGGAATTATATCATGAGTTACATGCCTTGGACAGATTTGAACAAGATTATCAGCGGAAGCTTCAAGAGGAAGACAACTCAAGTACCACCCAAAGAGGTAAGTTGCATCTTGTATTTCCTTTACAATGTCATATGAAAATTTATCTCTATATTTTGGTCTTGTAGGTTAATAAAGTTATTCTGTTTTGTATTTATCCAGTCTTTTTTTTGGTTGATGACTGAGTGTCATAAAGAAAGGAGTACATCAATATACTTTCTATATATTTGTATGTGTGTGGAACTGTAGATTTTTCCATGGTCTGTTTCGGCAGTTCTCATATCTAATAATGATGCCATGCTATTACTTGTTCTGAAGTTTGTTCATTATGTAATTTTTTAATTGTTACTATTTTGGTATTTCCAGATTTTTTTTCTTTGTTTGTACCTTTATAATGCCGTGCCGGGGAACTCAAATGTTCTTCCATTGTTGGTCTAAGCCAATAAACCTTTAATACCGGCAGTTGGCCTCATCTAAACGTGTCCTACAAAACCTTCCATATTTTTGAAATTTTGATTTCCCTCAATTTATTGTTTTGTTTGCAATGAAATGATTAGAGTTGCTTGAAAGTAATTTTGGTTTATTGTGCCTGTATATTCTTGTCACGTGTAGGGGATAGCCTTGCAATCTTGAGAGCAGAGTTGAAGAGTCAAGAGAAGGTTGTAAGCAGTTTGAAGAACAAATCACTCTGGTCTAAGACTTTTAAAGAGGTAGCAAGTCATTGTGCTTTATTGAACTCTTTCTAGCTGCATACAGGAAGGAATATGCAGAAATTAATGCTTCCGAGTATTGATAAATAACCTTGATGGGTTTTCCTGTTTCCTGATATTATCACCCATGTATAATGTATTCACTCCGGAAGTAGTATCTGGTGAAGGATATTCCAGAAACTCAATCTGAAATCTTGTGTTCACAGGTTGTGTGGAAGCTTGTAGACGTTGTACACTTATTACATGTAATGATTCATGAAGCTTTTGGCAGTGCTGGTATGTATTAAAAAAAAAGAAATATCCAAATCATAGCCCCGCCTTGTTTGTCCTTTCATCCTCATACTATTTTCGTTGATGTTATAGCAACTTGACAAAAAGACTGTTACAATGGATCTAGAAGCATGTGATAGGCAAATACTTCTTTTGTTCTGAAAGAAAACTATTGATTAGTGTTATCTTCCATCTGGACTTTACAAATCAGATTAATTGTCTCTCCTATTGCTCTTTGTGGCTTTAAAGATATTGATATGTCTCCCTTCTCCCTTGCAGCTGAAGAACCAGTGGAAAGTTCTGCGAGGAACTACAAGAAGTTGGGGCCTGCTGGTATTGCATTACATTATGCAAGTATTATTTCACATATTAACACACTCGTAAGTGATTGAATCACCTGCTATATTTAAACCTTTTTTAATTTTATTTTACCTTTGGTGATGTTTTTCCTTTCTTATGCTCTATAAACTTGTATCATCTCTACAATCTATTCCGCTATTAGTCGATCAAATGAGTCGAAATTGAAATCAGCATAGCTTGCAGAAGTTGTGGAGTCTGTTTGCATTCATGAGAAATATCATGTTTTGTTTTGTTGTCAAAGCTCAACCTCATAGGACAACTAAACTGCAAACAAAGATCATAGCACAGGAAGCTCGCGATCACCACCATGACTCATGGCGCGAAGTTCTGCCTCACACTAGACCTGAGCAATTGTTTTAACTTGGTAATCTAGGCAATTCTGTATACATATAGCTCCGTTCTAATGAGTCCGTGTCTAGGAAATAGTATACCCTTGCCGCAAAGACCATTAAGGTTATGGAGGCTACTGAAGACTACTTCCATGCTAGATTCTCTTGAAAATAGGATATCCGAAGTTGGGCATTCTGAGCCCTGCATCTCAATGCATAGGAGCTAGATCAGTCGACTACTTGCCAATTGGTTTCAGGTTAGATGCAGAACAGGTAATTCATAAATGTGCTAGGCCTAATGCATGCTTTACATATTACCTGACATAATTGATTCGCATATATTATCAGGTGGGTGGTTGTTGCTGAGATCCATTTCTCAACAACCTCTGATGTCAAGAAGAAGTGAATAGATAAAGCTAAGATCAATATTTGCTAAGCTTTTAGAGAAGTCATTTGGAGGCAGAGGCAAAAAGCCAAGTAGCCAAATTTCATGATTTTTTAAAGGATTTAAGTGTGTTTTCCTTTTACTTTTATCGACTTTTAACTCGCCGGGCTGGGAATGTAGTCTTACACACTAGTTGAGTTTCTTTACAGCCTTTTTTGTCAGTCTACTCAAATTTGGACGTAAGCTTTATAAAAGTTACCCAGAAATTTCACCGTGCGATAATGTAGTCTTCCTGGGCATTGGAACGATGAAAAACCAGACACCATTTTGCCCTTCTGTTATATATGACTGATTGAAATTACTCTGTTTTATATATACATGCAAGTGTGCACGAAGGGCGTCTTAAACAGGATTCTCCACTCTTGGATCCCTTGCCATTTGAACACCATGTTTGTTTTCTTTTCACTTCCTTAAACCCTAAACATTAAGGCTTAACTCCCACTCTACACCCAAAACTAATAAACTATGTCCTATTTGAGGAAGAAGATAAACCAGGCTGTTCATTAGGATTTATATTTGGGATCTTAGAGGATTTTCATATTATTTTTGAACAATCTTTTTCAACTTTCGTTCCAGAGGTCCGTCATTTTTCTATTGAGTGAAAATTAAAAGGCATTTGGAGATGCTCAATATTGAATCTTGTTAGTCACGGGCTTGTGCTGAGCTAATATCTGAATGTACCCAGGTGTCTCTGTCTCGATCAAGTTCGGTGGCTCAAAAGTTGAGGGATACTTTATATCTAGGGCTGCCATCCACTGTAACGTCAGGTTTGCGCTCAAAATTACAGTTAGTTGAGGTGAGCTATGTTCTTTGTTGCACTGCTATTCCAAAAGTTATTCCCCTTCAAGCAATTTCTGTTGAAGATTTAACTTAACAAACGGCGTTTCATGCAGCTCACCATCCCTCAAATCAAAGCTCAAATGGGGAAAACATTGGAGTGGCTTGTTCCCGTTGCAAGTAACACAACCAAGTAAAGCTCCTACTCTTTACATTTATACTAATTGGGCCTGATAACATCTGGTAACCCTTCTTAAAAATGAGCGTATAGATCGAAACTCTCACAACAAAAAACACTTTGGGAATATCATGACGAATGCTCAAGTGACCAGATGCTATTTTTGCTCCGTTTATATTTCTGCGATGATTTGACTGTTTGAAACTTACTTTTGGTTTTCTTTCTAACTTAGACTGGTTGTGACTGTTTTAATTTGGCCTGTGTAGAGCTCTTCATAACTTTGGCTGGGTCGGAGAGTGGGAAAATGCAGAGTAAGTTATCGTCTCTCACTTATGTTTTTCCCCCTAATATATTTATTAAGCTTTTCTAACTGAACTTTGTAGGTTTGAGGCACGCTGGAAACATAGTCACCAGACTGGCATTCTGATGATTGAGACACTACACCATGCTGATAAGGCAGTAACTGAAGCTTATATCTGTCAACTTATCGTTTGGCTACACCATCTGATGAGCCAGGCGGGGGCTGGTGTTGGTGGAATGCCGTCAACTCCTGTTATTAATCGGTTATCTACAGACAACGCCAACTGTTCGTCCCCCGTGTTGACAGATGAAGATCAAGAGATGCTTCAAGATGTGAGTAAGAACAACCTGAGGCTTGGAACGAGTAAGAGTCAGAATTATGAAGCGGGACAGACCAGGTTCAGCAAACACCATAGGCTGAGTAAGAGCTGCGGACACTCCCTACCAAGTGAAACCAGGAAACTTCCATTCCCCATTCAGAGTCTGATATCGAGGCCTAGGCCGATCGACTTTGATATCGACCGGATCAAACTGTTGGATGTCATTGATGGACTTGACACAACCAAAGGCTCCAAGTAGCTGCAGATCAACATGTTCTGTATAAAGGTCTCATAAGTGTAAATAGTATCATTATCTTTTCTTTCGTTCTTTCTTTCTTTCTTTCTTTCCTTTTTGGTAAGGTGTAATTCATCGGTCCAATTTAATAATCAATGGATCAAAATAATTTGACAAAATTTGAGGGTATTTCTATTATTTTGGTATTATTTAACGGAGATTTTTCACAAACTAATCAAAATAATTAACAGTGGACAAACTTAGGGACCAATTTTATCGATTAAGGGACCATTTTAGCTAAAAAATTCTAACGATAAATCACAAATAACTCCTAAACATTCACACATGATTTAAGGAAGGGAAAGTTTTTGAATTGTCATTCAATTTGTCGAATTATCATATTAATTTTTTTAAATTATTAATTTATCATCTCACTCTAATTTTCTGAAAAATTTAGTATCCGAAATAACTCGTGCTGCACATGGTTTGTGTTTCGGGTTCTTTTTTGGACTTTTCAACTGAAATGTGGTTTGACTCATTATTTGGTGCCCTTGATTGGTTGTTGCTAAATTTGATTGTAGTGCTGTTTGTGGAGGCCTACACTAGGTTAATTGCATAGCTGTATAACTTAAAAAATGTTGTAAAATCGACGGTGTGTGTGCAGTGGAATAAATAAAATAAGACATAAAATTTACGAGGTTCTTCTACAGTCAGTGTGACTGGAGTACGTCCTCGGGCAGCAGTGATGCTTTCATTATAATTTGGAATAATAGGTGTACAAAGATAACTCTATGTATTTTCTCCTCTCCTCTTCCTCTTTTTCTTTCTCTGCTCTCATCTCTTTTTCTCTCTACCTTGAAAGCATACGGAGTGCTCTATTTATAGAGCAACTCCAAGCACACATCTTTGACAATATAGTCTTCCTTCATCTCACAAGTCAAGATTCATTTTATGGGCATTGAAAATCTACCCAATGTCTTCAGTTTCTATGTGGGCATTCATTACCCACTATTATTTTCAATACTCCCCCTTGGATGTCCACATATCAACATCAGTTGCCTCGTTAAGATCTTGATCTATTTTTGGATGCTCCCCTTTGATGAGTATCTCCCCCTGATTTCAAAATATTTAGGCTGACCATTGATCCTGCTGCTTTAGTCTCTTAGCAGTGATAGTTGCTGAATGAGGTGTTTTACTTGTTGTTAACTTTCCACATACTTGTTTCTGAACTGGGTTGGAGGGCTTTCTGCTAGACTTCCTCCAAAGGTCTGAATTTACCTATTTTATCTGGAGCTGAATTTGATTCAAGGATGGTGGACACTTGATCTTGAATCGAACTTGTGATTTCTTCAAAGGCCGTCTAGGCTTGATCTTAAATGAAATTGGACCATGAGGAGCTTCATGTGATAAGTGATCTTAGACTTTGTCGGGGATGAACTGATATGTGTTTGTTGTGCTTGTTTCCACATGCTTCAATATATCATTTTCACTTGTCTTACTTGCTCCTTTTACAGAAGTGGTATTTTCCTTATGCAGGTTTGGCATCTTCTCTTGTAGTAGTTGTCCTCTAATACAGGAGTGGAATGCAAACCTTGCATTTGAATGGACCATCACTTCTTGGTGGCAGCGAAAGTTTGAGTGGAGATTCCGACATATTGCTTTCTTTGTCCTTGTCTTGGCAGGTAAGAACAAGGGCAAGGGAAAGGACATGGAGATTGCATGATATGAGATACTCTTGCTCTCGTCCCTGATAATATGAGATATTCTTACTCTGGTGTGACTTGTTTGTAGAGGTATTCTCGGAGAGGAAGAAAACTGAGTATTTCGAGATACTTTGTGAAAGATGCATTCTCGGAGATAAGGAAGAGTTAGATATTTTTCAGTTTTGCCTTGCCATGGAGGACAAAGGTTGACATATATATGGATTTCCCAATAGCAGGTAGTAGTGTTGTGCCTTTACTCTTGTCAGCAACTGTGGTGTAATTAGAACAGTAAGATTCACGCGTTTTCAACTTTATCAGAGATCTTTGACAAAGTTGCACGTGATATCCAAGAGCTGAGATTGCGTCTAAGAAATGTTGACAGACATCATGCAGGGAAATCCAGCTTTTGAAATTCGAAAATCGGTGTCTTTTCGATTTTTGAATAAGTGGTCATGTTGCCCCTCCTTTTATAGAGATATCAATTTTGTTCAGAAACACTCAGAAATTGTTGCCTGTAGAAATTTCCCTTTCTTGCACTTCTGAGATTTTATCTGACTTCATTCATCATTTCTGAAAATGGCTTGCCCATCTAACATTTGCTTAGATTTGAGTCTCAAGATTGATACAGACGATCAGCGTCAGGATAACATATGGCGCCCGTCCTTCTCATCTTCTAATAGTCCTCTTACGGTTGGAGACTCTGTGATGAAGAATAATATAATCGCTACAGTGGTAGCCAGGAATCTTCTCACTCCAAAGGACAACAAAATCTTTTCAAACCGGTCTGATGAGGCGGCCGTTCAAGACTCATTGGCTCTTAGTGTTCAATGTGCGGGCTCTGTATCCAATATGGGCCAACGCCTACTTGCTCGAACTCACCAAGTTGAATCATTAATGGCTGAGGTTGCAAGTCTTAAACAAGAGATTAGAGGGCTCAAGCATGAGAATAAAGTGTTACACATGCTTGCAAATAATTACTCTACGAGCATGAAAAGAAAGCTTGACTAGCTACTAGAATCCGAAGGTCGGACTCAAAATGACAATCAGGGGTTCGAGTCTTTATTCCAAAGACATCCATTGTCTCAGCTGTCTGGAGTTCCACTAAGTATTGAGACTCCAAATAATCAACTTCTGGTGTCTCCCCCTTTTGGGGTACTTCCGAGTACTAAGGCTTCATATGAGCAACCTTTTGTGAAGGTTCCCTTTTGTTTGTTTGTTTTAACTCATGTGTATGTAATTTCTCGGAGATATTAATATATAAGCTTTATTTCATTCAGTGTATTGTGTTAAATACAATAAAACATATATTTCACTAAGATGTGGTACTTCTGGACCAAATATCAATTTATCTTTACCCCTCGCAAAAATAAATGATCATTCTTAGTGTCTAAATCATTTGAGTATTCAACTCAAAATCTTCAATCCATATGATTCTTTAATGTCATAAACATCATGGATAAGATTCGTGTTGGCATATTGTTCGATTCTGCAGTTCGAGACAATATTTCTCTCAACACTTTATAATCTTTCTTTACTCTTCAGGAGTCCCAATTTAATATCATCAACTCTTGCAAGAGATTTTAGTATGTTGCAACAATACCATAATTGAAAGTACTCACTAAGGCAATTTATACCATTCATTAATATTGAGTACATAATTTATGCTTTACCCTTCCGGGGCTTTCTTCAAGCAATTTGAATCCTTCAGGGATTTTCTACATTTCATGACACATTTTCCTTGAGAATTTATACAGAGCAATTCGCTTCCATGTATATTTGAGGGATTTACTTATGGAGATATGATGTGGGCGACTCATAACCCTTCGTATATAATTCTCCATTTATACGAACTCGTTTCCATCCTTGTGTCATATCATATGAGTGTATTTCATGGTATTACAAATACCTATATGTAACCTTCTAGGTTCAACATCTTTTGGCTATTTGTATTGTATCCAAGTATATAGGTCTATTTTTCCACGTTCTTACAAAATTGTAATGGATTTGCCTTTATCCATTTTTAGCCCATAATTTTGTTGATGGAAAAAGAACGGGACTCAATATCACCACAGCTCATTGATGAATTTAGTAGCTACTTGTAAAAACCAAAATTACCATTGGTTATCATCAATCTGTGATCTCATATTCTCATGTGCATGCGCATGCATAAAAGCTTTTCATTTCTTTTTGGATATCCATTGCCTCTTCAAGGGCATTACACTATCTCTTCCAGGATAGTTATAATTTAGAGAATGCGGATCATAACCTCCTTTTGAGCGTTATAGAGTTTAGATTTTAATCTCCACTTCGGGAGTTGAGTCATTGGAACCTATACGTCTATCATGCTTTATGCATGAGACATCAATATTCCCATGTCTGCGAATTGACCTTTTCGGGACAAGTATCCTTGCGGCAACTGTCATGCGTCTGGCATGCGACAGTTATGCTTCGGAATGCAATAGTTTTAGTAGTGTCATATTCTTCTTCTTTTAAAGGACTAAACCGTTTGAGTTTGAGGGTCTGCCACACTTTAGGTGTGCAACAGATAAATCATTTGCTGTCATATTATTTTGTCCAAAAGGGACATTAATTCTTGTAGGCACATTTGCAGCAAGTATATGTGATTTCGTCACTTTCGTTGCATCATTAAATGCATCTGGCATTTGATTTGCATATCGTTGCATCATTCAATTATTCTCACTTCATTTGTATATTGATTGCTTCATAAATCAAAATAAGACAAATTCTCTTCGTTCTTCTAGAATGGTTTTTTTTCTCATCATTCTTCTGGAATGATATTTGTTCATCGTTCTTTTGAAACGAAGTTATTTTCTCCCCATAACGGCAGGAAAATTGTCTTATCAAAATGACAGTCCGCAAACCACGCGGTAAATATATCTCCAGTCAAGGGTTTTAAATATTGAATGATAGATGATGTTCAACATCAATGCCTAATCTGCAATGATGCTTCATTTCAGTATGTTGTGGCAGTGCAATAGGCACATAGATAACACAACCAAAAACTCGTAAATGTATAATGTTTGGCTGGTTCCCAAACACGAGTTGTACTGAGAAGTATTGATGGTTGTCAACAGGTCTCAACCAAATCAATAATGCATCATGTAAAATGACATGTTCCATGTAGAAACTTGGCAATTTTGTTTTCGTGAGCAGAGCGCGGGTAATCTATTTCATCTGCTTAATAAATGCTTCTGCTAAACCATTTTTGAGTATGAACATAAGGAACTTTTAGTCATTATTTAATAGTCTGTAGACTAAGACTCTTATGGCTTTTATTGCAATTAAGTTGAGGCACTGCGGCACTTCAAACTTAAGGTACTTATCAAGGAACTTCATATCCTAATCTTGAGGATCAAGAGACTTCATGCCCGATCTTTTTGTTTGATGGAACTTCAGGTCCAATCATTTTTATTTGATGAGGATCAAGAAACTGCAGGTTCTGATCTGATCAAGGA